GGCATGTGCTATCCGATGCAGAATTCCTATACATGCGTTTGTCTCTTCTTCAACAACGAGAAATGAACAAAAAAGCAAAGAAATGGCCAAAACGCTCTACAGTCCTGAATAATACTTATTTTTTTTAAAATTTTATATAGCCAGTCTTCACATCTATTGCTCGAATCCTAGCAACTCTTTTCATTCTATTCGTTTCCTCACATCCATCTTCCACTAACGTGTTTACCTTTTGAGCATGGTCTTGGCTCATTGCTTGACGATTTTCGCTTTTTTATCCCATTCTTTCTGTACACCTAACATGCTCATAACAGATTGTTCCAGCCAGCATATATTCGTGGCAGCATTCTTTTCTTCCGCAGACCTGTCTAGTGCAGATCTCCCGAGCCCAGAGGTAGAGGGTTTTGCTGGGTCAGAGGCACGGTCGAACCAACACAGTGTTCATGATAAACAGGGTCACTGCTGTTATATTACCCTTCCCTTCGTATCTATTTTAGAGGAGCTTATTAGCGGCTGATTGCTGTTGACACCGATAGAGTAGAAAACTGGTAGAGAGAAAGGCAAAGAAAGAACTACGGTTTGTGTGGTGGACACGTAGCACGTGAATCCCCAGTAGTCGGTGGGTTCGAGTCCCACCTGAGGCTCAAAGTTCTACTTATATCTCAGCGTCGTTGTAGTTAACGATTACAGCATTTCAGCTAAGTGCAACTGGTGCAACTATTTATATTTATACGTTCTAAGGGAAATTCGGTGGTTTGATCAAACGGATCTGTTGCGGGTTAGGGATTTCGTTTTCATCATTTCTGACCTCGGTGGAAAGAAAAGCAGGACATCGGCTACTTTGCCTACAGTTCAAACTTGCTTCGTACGGGCTCTTAAGAAATTAATTCACTGTTAATAAAAGCAAGCTGGACCCATAGTTCCTTTTGCACAAAGGATCTTAGTAGATTGATTTTACTTTATAAACTCGTTATTTGAGTCATTTACTCAAGCCTTAATGAGATGATGTAAAGGACAAGGTAGAAGAAATTCTGCGTTGTTTAATCTCACAAAACTGACCCTTGTATTTGACTTCACTCGTAATATCATAAAGGTAATTAAATACACATATTATGACCTATAGAATAACTTGCGAGAACCTAACGATGAGTAAAGTGAGTACTTCTCTCCTTCTATAGGTGTCTGGTAGCAATTTGGTGGCGGATCGATTCAGAGTGCATGCGTCTACTGTTGAGCACCTCAAACAACTTCCCTTTACGTTTTCTATTATAAAAAGTACATGAAAAGACTATGAGTATTTAAAATACCAAAGCATTCCCGACATGCTTTTGGATTTTGTTTTTGCTTGTTATCGTTGAAATGAATAATGAGAAGGAGAAAAGGACGTACAATTTTTTATGGAATACACCTGGATTTCTCTAAGCTCTATAACAATTGGTAATAGTTAAGTTGTACATGGGCTATAACATTTTAATGACATCGTGCGTTTTTAACGATTTTCCAGAGCTTTTCATAAACCACACTACTTAAGGTTCGAATTGGACAGAATAAAAAACAAAGGATAAAGCTCTCGGCGTTGATCAATCCCTGAGGGATGCGCCATGCATTCGACTTCATTAACTACCGTTTGGAGGTGATTGAAAACATATCTAGCTTTTAAAATGACTCGGGGTGACCTACCCATGTATCGAGCCAGTGCTGCTATTCCCCCAGACAAGTCTGGTCCCAATTTGCCGACCCTGTAGAGAGGATGGAAGGCTTGGTGGGCCACGGGCGCGGGGAACGGTTCCGCGTGTGTCGGGCACAGAATAGAACAGACTAATTCCTGCTCCTCCAGATGCAAATGCAAATTATGTAAAATACTGTTCTGTTCTTGCAAACTGCTTAAAATCCAGACTTTGAAGTTAAAAAAACTCGAATTTTAAACATTTTTAATGTAAGCGCTGCAATCGTAATAAAGAAATATTCTGGGTTTCTTAGTTTTTTTGGATAAAAATCCCTTATGCAGTTGCTTTACAGCTCAAAATGCGAATCCCTGGCAAAAGAAAATTGTATGAAGGAATAGCACATCTGAGCTCCAGAAAACCAAACCTTCACACTATGATAGGGTGGATCTTGCTGGTGAAATTTTTTAAACCCTTGTGATTCGCGCTGATTGGATAAAAAGTTCGCTAAAAGTTACGATACTTTTGTGAATATTTAGGACGTCTTTGTTATTCACTCACGCAATGAAGCCAATGCGTATTGCATGAATATGTTAATTCATCATTTATGCCTTCTATTTATAACACCTCCAACCTCGCCGATTCGATTCTAAGCGTCGTCTCGTAATCTAAAAGTGGTATAGTGATTTCCTTCTCCGTCTTATTCCTTATTTTTTAGATTTTTCACTATTTCCACGTAAGGGATTCGTGACGTCGAATATTTCCCATTTTTGGTGCGAACTCGTACTCCGTCTCAGAGTATTTTTTAATTTCGATTTTCACGGCTTTCGTAATAGCTGTCGTGCACAATTCCCACGTGTCAGCATGTCAGTCCGATGAGATATTCTCAATACTTACTTATTCTTTGTAGCAGCTGCTTGTTGGCATGGTAAGTATAGCGCTGCTATCGAACTTAGAACGGCATTGCTGGCGTCAAATGTTCTGATTCGGACGAACTGTCGTAGGATGAAGTGCACCAGAGCTCGAGATTGTGCCGACGTCGTGACCTTTAGGACGTTTTTGAGGGAGTCAATTCTATTTCAGGGTTCCTGTGTTAAAAATGGAATTCGACGAAAACTCCAGGCAGTACAAAATTCTATCAATACTTCACATCAAGTACGCTGGTATTTCATGTGCACTTATTGGTAGGCGGATGTTTTCGAATTGGTTTTAAAAGTTCGATGTTCTCGATAACGTCCCTTCAGGAGTTTTATCGATTGTGACCGCATTCAGTCTCGGTGTAGCTTATCTTCCGTGGTCTCATTATGATACATTGTTTGATGTAGCTGGTAGGTCGTCACCTCCTCATATTTTACTACCAGCTTTTTCTTTTTGACATGTTTGGTCGGCATGTATAGTAGCGCTGTGACAGTTTTACGCAAAACGATGACGCGTTAGGAAGTATATTGACCATTTTCGTATTTTTTCCTCTTTTTATTAAATCGATATTTCGTCTAGTTAGTGTCTTAGTTAGTTCAGATGAATTTTTCTTTACAAGAGGAATAAGCTAAATCCTACACACTGTACTGCTAAGGTTTCCCTTGCCTCACTGGTGAGTAACGGAATTGCAGTTTTAACTGGTCTTCTGATCTTCTTCATATTGGGTGTCATTGTTCATTGTACGATTCTCCTTGCCATCCGCTTCACAAAGGTACTGATTTATTTCTCACATGATACTCAATCAGTCATATGAATTGTCCTTGAGAAATTCTATACTCGAGAGAGATCCAGAATCTTGCCCCTCTAAGCGAAGTCAACCAGCATGCTACGTGAGAAAATGTGGAAAATTTAAGGAATAAATTATATTAAACAATCCAACAAAGCTTCTTATGCATACGCAAAACTTCCGAGAAATGCTCACAGAGAGTATATTAACTGGTTCATAGAATATGTTAACAGAACACAATTCTTAAAATGTCGATCAATGCGAACAGCAATCACCCGTCAACGAGATTGATATGGGGAGCTTACATCGGCATTGAACCGACATAGCTGAGAGACAGGCGAAACGAGGGACCCGCATGGTGTGCCGGTGAACGCGTTAGCCCCAGAAAGGGTAATAGTGCGTTCGTCTTCACCGTAGACACATTTGGCCCGAAGTTTTGCAAATATCTCAGCATCGTTGTGGTTGTGTTTGGCATAAAACCTTGCCGTGAAAAATTGTGGTAGGCAGCAAATAAAAAGTAAGACATTATATAAACATTGCTTAAAACGGTTGCCTTATTCTTCAGCTCGGAATCGTGTTTTAAATTTCAATGTTTGGTAACAAATGGTAAACCACGAAGCGTTCGGCGTTAGTCAATCGCTGAAGAAAGAATACCTCGTGTATTCGACTTCATTAAAAAACATGGAGGTGATTGAATACATATTTCACCTTCTCAATTAATTACGTGGGGGCCTACCGATGTATCGAGTCATGTATCAAGCAAGAACCGAGGTTCTTGCTTGATCGATAACACATGAGCCCACGGCAAAGGTAATGGTGGATTCGAAACCTATTTGGGGTTCCGAGTTTTGCTCAAACGTGGGCAACATTGCGGTGGTGTATGAACTCATTCGTTTCTTCTTTCTTCGCAAACAGTCCTTCAATAACGTACCGATCGCAATAAAAATGTTGTAAGCTTTTAAGTTACTTCAACTTATTTAAGCTATGATGTCGTTTGTTAATGTGGTAAATGCGAAAACATACCCATTACTCTGTCATTGTAACATACCGTAATCGAATCTTCGTGTTTTTCATGCGTTTTCTTCAGTTTAAATCCCATACTGCTTCGATTGAACTCCCGCTATACAGCGAGTGGTTTGGCGGAGCAAAAAATCAAAGCGGGAATCTCGTTCTTCCACCTAGCATTTCAAACATTCTAGTCGACATTTGGCGACAAGTTATCTCTCATCTATCAGACAGCCTTTGAGAAATACTACTTAGATAAACTGACCCTATTATTCATCACAATACTTGCTTGATATTTGGTACTTGAATGCCCATCCTCACTGGTTGTGCTGGTCTCAGCATAATCTCCATTTTTTGGAGATCTGCTGTTTAAGCCATTGTGGCTTACTAGAATCCCGAGGTCAGCCTGGCCAAAGTCTGCTCCAGATCTTCTTCACCACGGGCAGTCCCAGCCCTTGTGGATCAGTGGGAGATATGCCACCATGCGACTTTGATACCAGTACGCTGGTGGATACTGGTACTGGTTTACTCTTAGCTAGGCTTCCTGATGGAAATACCGGACTCCTCAACATGAGAGACCCCGCCAAAATATGAACCCCCCTCCGCCCTCCACCCTCTGTACATCGCAGCCCGACACCCAGAAACACCTCCCAGTCACGACGATGAAGCGGTGTACCGTTGGGAGGCATCACAATAATATGACCTATTTAATCTATCTGACCTATCAAATTGTAGTCTATTTAATTGCAGACTCGATTTGTTATGCCATTCGTAATTTTTCACGTTTTCCTCATCTTGTTGGATATAATGGTTGCTCTGATCGCAGTCTGCGAAATGGTGGCTGAACAGGTACGGTGTAGAAAGCAGTATGTGACTTTCTAATGTTCTTTCTTTCAATGCATGGCAACTATCGGAAGTCGTTTCGTACCGCATTTTTCTCTAGTGGTAGCACAACTGTAAATCAACCTCTGATGTTGTTCTCTTCACTACACAATCGGAATCAATGCCCTACTCGAACGTGAGGATGCGAAGAGCGAGAAACCCTGTGGCAAATTCATGAAATTTTCAAGAAAGATATGTACTGACTGTTTATTTGAGAAGTGATTGCGATCCCTTAATAACTGAAGAAAGCCTAGCTGAAGTCGAAAAGCATGAGTGTTGATCAGCAGTAAGATTGTGCTATATTTTGGGAGGACTCCAGAAACAGAAACGGATAGTGACATTCGGAATCATTTGCGTTTGTTGCTATGTGTACTAGGAGAAAATGAAAGTTGGTCGTTGGTCTCGTCGTTTTACAGACGCCTGAAACGATGTGCATGAAGACTACCTATATAGAAGACGCCGTGCAGTAGATTAGTCCGATGAAATGTAACACCTTTAGCTAGTGGTCTCTAGTCTTAGTAAGGACGGTGTCTAAAGAATAGTCAATGTGCCTTAGCACAAATTTAAATCATATAGAACAATTATTATGACATTTCGATGATCATGTTTTTCTCATGCCAGGGTTTACGAGCAATGTAGGAAAAGTTTGCTTGTGTTTTTGCAGAGCTATCAGTTTGATCTCAGCATCTCTGGTGCACGAACTGTGCTGGTGGTGGTGCCGAATACGATTCTTGTCGAAGTGGTAATGCTCGTCATTGCCATGAAGCTTCGATTTTATCTGAGGAATAAACGAAGACATATAAGACATGGATTAACTCCGGTGAGTACATCGAACATTGATTAATTTCAGCCACACTGAGAACAAGCGCCTTGCTAGGTTTCACTACTCAGAAGTGCGACGGTGAACGAAGTGAATGTTGTTTTCCTAAAACAAAATCTGTACCATTTTTACACCTAGATAAAATGTAGGAGAATTAAAGAGTTGATAATTTCCAGAAAACTGGGCCATGAGCTTAACTTCGTTAAGCACCTTAGTGATGATTGAATGCGTATCTGGCTTATATAATGTCTTCCGGCGGCATACTGAGCTGTCAAACAACTACTGCCATACTCTCAGCCATGTCCGATAGCACTTTGCCATCCACGGAAAGGTGAAGGGCTTTCGATTCAGAGGCCACGTGTGTAATGCAGAGCATCTCTACGCTACAGGCCGCTTTGGGATATGAATTTATTCCTTACATCCGTCTGGATCTACTTTCGTAAAAATACGTAGAAATGCGATATAAGTAAGAGGAACTATGTTTTTTCAATCTTTAGGATCGCAAGAGGGTATGAAGCTATAAACCAAGCGATAATCGTTTTAAAGTACAAACTCAGAATAGAAGCATGAGAAGCACAGAACTAAACAAAGGAAAACGTTTCTTGACACAAAATTTTCTCATGATTAAAAAAACAAGGGCAAAACTGAAGCATTTCCATACAGCAGCGTTGATGGACTTGTAGTAAACGAATATTTTGTCGGTAGAGAAATCTGCATCAATTTTACTGGTTTTTTTAATCGATTGATGCTATGTTTATACTACGATTCCATTTGTCGCAGTGGTATTTCTCATTAGAAATGAATTTCATTAGTAGTTTCATCAGAAGTATGCATTCTTAGAGGGGCAAGTGGCGCTGTGGTCGAAGGCGGGTGTAACACACTTGAGATCGGTCCCAGCTCCCGAGGTTCACCAAGCCTTCCATCTCTCCGGGGTCGGCAAATTGGTACCAGCCTTGTCTGGGGGAATAGCAGCACTGGCTCGATACATGGGTAGGTCGCCCCGAGTCATTTTAAAAGCTAGATATGTTTTCAATCACCTCCAAACAGTAGTTAATGAAGTCGAATGCATTGCGCGTCCCTCGGGGATTGATCAACGCCGAGAGCTTCATCCTTTTTTATGTATTCTTAGTCACTTGAGAATTTTCTGGCATGTCTGTGGACCTGAACATGGTATTAGTTGCAGATAGTTTGAGCGTGCACTTTACTTTACCAAGTATTCGACATTCTCCGTAGTTTGGATTCATGCAGACAATCATAAGCAGAGCTGGTGTGGTAACAGCACTCCTCCTCAGAGAGTGTTATTGGTGGGCATACACATGCACTGAATTCCGTTCTGTAGTTTCTCATCTAAGGCAAAATGCTGGAAATCATCTCTAAGAGAGCGCGAACTATGCTGTACATATAGCCTCTGTGCAAAGATCAGGAAGGATTTTGACATCATGTAACGAACTTGTGCTGACCATTTTATGTTCGCTCCTGGTATAACCAGGTCGCTGAGATATGAGCAAAACTTGGAACCTAGGATTTAAACTTCTCCAGGGTGTAAACTCTATCTATAGCAGCCGGAAAGAGTAATCGCAGGTTCGATACTCACCTTAGGTTCCACGTTTCGCTCATATCTCAGCATCCTCATGGTTGTATCACCGGTGCCAGCCGTCGTTCTGTTAATCGTCGAGTGGCTCGAGCGGTCGGCAGTAGCCCGGCACAGTGTGGTATGCTCACTTTAAGCACTTCTTGAGGATCATTTTTGAGGATTACCTTTTTTTCTACGGTATTCGTAAAGATCCCTTGCCATCGAGTCCATGGTTTCTTTGCTCTGCATTTGAAATTTCGAGCAACCCATTAGCTAATGACTTGCCCATCGATTACCGTCCATACGCGTTGGGTGTGCGGCCCACCTTATCTTCGACAATGTGGCGTATAGAATAAACGAAAACTTTAATTTTTGATCGATGACGTAGGTCAGAGCTTCGGATTTCCTCTCTCGCTTACGTGAACGGGATACCCCCGGCATCGCCCTTTCGACTACGCGTTCCGTAACCTTATGGTTGTACTTCGCATAAATACACTGCCATGAAAAAAGATTATGCGATTAGTAGAAATCATGGCGCTGAAGTCCATGGCATCCTCTTAATTTTTTGCCCTCAAGAGCTGTTGTGGTGATTAAGCATAGAGAATAGCATAAAAAACGGCAGATGATTTAGTTATACTTTCTTGAATATTTCTAATGGACATCACCCAAAGCGAACCGAATTCCCTGAGGCATCCAGTGAAACAACGGGCAAGTGCAAAGTCTCGAAGTAGCTTAATCGCAAAACAGCGTGTTTGTATGCGTTAGAATCAATGCACATGGTGCAAAAATAGCTGTGTTTAAGCCAACCGTATTCGTGGTGGTGTTGCAAAGTGGAGAGCAGTACTGCACTTAATATGTGAACAAGCAGCTTCTAGAAAAAATAAATTAGTAGTAAGAATATCTCATGAGACTGACATGTGGGAGTGGAGAAGGACACCTATTATACAACCCATGAAAATCGGGAACAAGGAAGCAGAAAACTCCAATGTGAAACGAAGTGGGAATATTTGCGACGAATTTCTTAGATGATATTCGTGAAAATTCCTGAAGACATCGAGAAGGATGAGGAATGGCTAAATTACTATGCACATTTCAGATTAAATTGTAATCGTTTGTAACTAAGTCATTTAGAATCAGATAGTGAAAGTGAAATATGAACAAATTAACGCATTCACCTCCACACGTATCGATTTCTATTCGTATGTCTTAAGACTTGAAGAGAAAGTAGTTTCACTATTTGACAAGTTTTCTACGCTGTGTGTTTTTAAGGGACATCGTGTTCGTCTCGTTTACCATTTAGAACAGAAATTTCGCTCAACATACCTGTTCCGATGTTTTCGGCATTAGTTTAAATTGTGAAAAACTTGAAAGCTCTAAAAGCTCTCGGCGTCGACCAATCCCTAAGGGATGCGCCATGCATTCGACTTAATTAAGCATCGTTGGAGGTGATTGAATGCATATCTGGCCTTTCCAAGCGATGGCCTACCGATGTATCGAGCCAGTGCTGCTATCCTCCCAGGCAAGTCTGGTACCTATTGCCGACCCCGCATGGATGGAAGGCTTGGTGAGCCATGTGAGCGGGGATCGATTCCACGTGTGTGTTGCAGGTCGCTTCCGATCACTGCGGCACACGCGCCCTTCGTGAAGAACTGAAGGCAATCAGAAAGGCTTATTCCGCAGCATTTCACTAAGATAGTAGGCGCAGAATGATTCTACTACAACTATGGAATTCCGGCGATAATTTTTGCAAATCAAAACAAGGCAAAGAATTACAGCTTTCTTTCTCACCGACTTTCTGTTAACCTTGGCGTTGATCGAACAATCCTTTGTATTCTTGTTTAGCAAACACGAGGTGTTATTTTATCTCTTTGTTTACGCACATCGTTTCGGCGGATTTCGGCTCCCTCAGAGCCGCAAAGAAGTGCGATTATACGTCTTCTGCAGCTCAGGTTAAGCCACTGGATATTGTGAAACTTCTCACGACAGCGGTTCTAGCACATCTTTTAACCACAATACACCCTTGTGTGTATCGGAAATATATACAAGAGGTGTTATTATTCTTTATTCACGAATAAGCTGACGTTTTGGCGAATTTCGCCATCCTCAGGGCCTGAAAAGGTCAAGTTGATAGCAATCTATTCGGCCCGACGCCTCCATAACCAAACAAAGAAACTCCAAATTAAGATTTCAATCACTTTGAACACAGCTTTGCACACTCACCGCTTTCTATGAGGTTTCCACTAAGTATGTCACGTAGAGACCAACCGAACAGAAATCACGTGGAAGCATAATGTGCCCCTCCTATCAGAATAACAGGTTTATATACTGCCCAATATCACGCGTGCTAATCCTTAACGACATATTTTTGAATTTTTATTAAAGCCTCAGTCATGCGGAACGTTTGTTTCGAAACCATTGACTGCGGTAGTACTCCATTACTGGCCGCTTGTATAAAACCGCTTTTCCTGATCCAAAGGTCCTCCAGTGTAGGTATCATTGCAACAGCCTCAGAAATATTGACAGTCAACGCTCATCCATGCCACCGTTTTCCTGCGTACATGCGATATATGTTTCCTTATTCTTAAGCTTGAATGACTCGGTATCTACTTGAGACGCTTGTTTAAAATGTGCTAAATGAAGATGCTTCAAACACTAGTAGAAACAAGTGAGTTATCGAAGCACGTGCGTTTTCTAAATTGACGATCTTTGAGCGAAGTTTGGGTTTTTATGTTCTATCGCTTCCTAAAAAAGTTGTAAATGGACTGGATAAATGCCTGCTGTCACAGTGAGATCGCGTTTAAAATCGAAGACCAAGTTATTCACGTCACCAAAGTGACCACGAGAGTGAGGTCCTGAAAGCGTACCTTCTCAGTAATATTTGAACGTCGTCTGCATTTCAAAATTATGAGAACCTATCGTCGCAGTAAATTTTGTCGCTTTGGTATTTCGTGCTTTCTTTGAAGCAATTTTACATATTTTGCAATTTACGAACTGCACCGTCTCAAGAAATATTCTTTGAATGGAATCAAAGCTCTGTCGTTAATGACCTCACAGTGTCTACCGTTGAAGTTTACTATGAACCAAGATGTGGTGGTGTGTGTGAGTGTGCCATTGTCATATTTACGCTAACACCTTGAGTCTAACATCAGTGGGCTTACCACATGCATGAGGGCAAGTTGGCCAACGCGAGCTGATATCGACTCATTTCCTTTTTAAGTCTTTACTTAGTATTGGCATGCTCGAATGTTTCGCTATAACATGTGTGCTGTTTTATGTATGTATATATATCACCTGTAGTCCCGTTGACCGTCGAGTGAGTCGAGCGGGCGCCAGTAAATCCTCCATTTTTCCCTGTCGCGTGTAAGAGTAGTCCAATAGGTTCTGCTCACTCTAGGGACTCATCGAGCATCATATCTTTCTTCAAGGCTCTTTGTGAAAAACTCTGACCATCAGGTCGGTGGTCTTCCTGCAGTACGTTCACATCCCGAGGAATCCAGTTACTAACGGCTCTTCTCCATCGGTTGTCATTCATACGCATTACGTGTCCGGGCCACCTTATCTTTACTTTTTGGCGTGCATAACGGCATCTTTGATTTGTGATCGTTGACGCAGAACGGAGCTTCGAATCCCATCCTTTACTTGTGTGGAACGG